TCAGGTATGATGGAGGACATCCTGGTGAAAATCCTTGTGTTATTCTGGTGAACATGAACTGACTTAGAAAATGTCATATTAGATCAGGTCCAGTGGGGTTTTCTAAATCATTTGGAAAACCACTTACCAGTTTTTCCTCCCAGCACCTTGAATATATTTTCATTCTTTTATTTTTACAATGCACACAAAGCACTTGAACTAATTGTGATAACCAGGTCGGGGAAGAAAACCCAGTATAAAGTCATCTTTGAAGTACTGTGCTCAATTCTGGGTTTCTCCCAGAATTCTCCAAATCACCAAAAGATAATAGAACTAACAAGTACAGAAAAGAACAAGCTTTAAAGGCAACATCTAGAAAGAAAAGGTTGGAGAATCTATGTTTTCATTTTTAGACATGTTAATAAGAGAATATACAGCAGAGGATGATAAAATCATAGACACTATTTAGGCAAAAGGAAATTTTGACTTCCATTGCCATATTAAAACTTGGGGTCACCAAATAAAATTGGCTGGTAGGCAAAGCTATGCAGTATTTGTCGTATGTATGTATGTAAGAAAAATAAAGCTATCATCTACATTCTCCTGACAGAGCTTAATACTAGGACGAACCTTCTCATACTGTGAAAGAACCTGCCTAGGAAGATGTTAACAGTGACATAGGTACATAATAAGTTTATTATCAGCTATTCATTCTGTTTAAATAACTATCATTCAGAAAGATTTTCCATGTTTCTTACCTTGGAAACTGTTCTTCACTTCAAAATAACAATGTTGCCACCTAATGGCCACCATTGCAAAAGCTTTGCCAATTTCTCTGGTAGAAAGGCATTGCCCTTGAATAAAGCATGTTCATTAAAGTAACACAAGGCCTTAAAATTAGTCAAAGAATATAGGGAACCTAGCATTTTCACATTCATAACTTATAACCAATGGAAAAAAATCCAGTTATTACATCATGGTCTTGAGACATACCAATGTACAAAAACTGCGTAGAGATTACCTACTTTACTAATTTTAGTACACAAAAATGAGTGCACTTTCATCATTCCAGGCTAGCAAGCGAAATTGCTATGACATGTGGATGAAATACAGGTTCACTTTAAAAAAGATTACCTAGCTTCAGACGAGCCATCTTTTTAGACT